CGGCGGGGCGGCGCGCCGGGGGTTGAGCCGCCGGGCTCCCAACCGGCCGGGGCCAACAGCCGCCGCCTCCAGCGGCCGCGCCTACGCAGGGCCGGCGGGCGGCCTGGGCGGCGCAGGGCGGCCGAACCCTTCCGTGGGCTGGTGGCGAGCGGAGCCGGGCAGCGCGGTGGGCCACCCGTCATCCTGCGGGGCGGGGGGAGGAAGGGGTTGCCAGGGGCGCATTTGTGGTCGTTCGGAGGATTTTTTAGTATTCTTTCCCCACCACGATTTCGTTTTATTTCTGTGGGTTTTTTCGCTCCTCCGAAAGGTACCGACGTCGGGGCGATGCATCGCACTGGAGAGAAGAGCCGTGCGGGGCGGCGGGAGTCCTGCCCCGCCGCCCTCCGCAGCAGCGGCGGCCGGGCCGTGCTGGGGGTGCTGACGGAGAACGGGCAGCAGCAGCGGCCCGGCGGCCAGGTGAGCCCCGCTGCCCGCAGCACTGCCGCCCTCCTGCCCGCAGAGCCCGGCTGAGCTCCGCGGCCCTGGGCTGGCAGCCGCCGGCATGAGCGGTGCACGCACCCGCCTCGAGGCTGCCGGCAAAGACCTGGCGTGGCGGGGTGAGAAGGTGACTCGGGCTCCAGTTCTTAAGCGTGAGTTTCCCGAGAAACCCTGCTAGTAACCGCACAGTCCTAACCTGCGGGTGTTTCCCCGTGGAAGTACTCTGCGTAAATAATTCATCCTGGAAGGAAGGGATACTACTCTAGGGGGTGGTTTAAGGAAGGGCTGTCCACTGACCCAAAGGTCTCTTTGGTGTGTGGTTAGCCGTGATCACTCCAGGGTGCCAGAGCCTTCAAGAAGTTCAAGTTAATGACGTGTCGTTTTTCTGCTTTTCTGTCCCTTGAGCCCTCCTGGAGGCTGCTGGTGGGGCAGGGTTAATGTTACTATTCTGACCTAAAATAGCAGCTGGTATGGGTACACAAACTCTTCTTGGTTTTGGCTGTATAAAGCCTCTAATTCAGCTGGTGGCTTACTGGTAGATGGTGTGAAGGATTGTAGCCTGGTCACACGTAGTCCTAGGGGTTGCAATGCTTAAGCTCAGAAATTCAAACTTCAGTTTTTAACTCTGTTTGAAGTGCCTTCTTGCCAGTGCAGTCCTTCCTAAGTCTGTGGCAGTGCTTGAGCACTTTTCTTAACTTGATGTACTTGCAACTGCTCCTTGCCAGAACTGAATGTGTAGCAGACTGCACTTCCCAGCCCCATTGGAAATGAGCAGCACCCACATTCTGCTTGGTGGGAGGCACCGAGAATGATGCTGCTCCACTGGTTTCCTGACTTTTACTACTCTTAATTTTTCTGTGAGGAGTCTGTCACAGCAAGGCAGAACAAGTGGCACCAACTTCAGAGGCATCAAATGTAGTTGGTTGCTTTTTGCATCAACTTTTGTTATTGGTGTCTGTTACACAAGGAAAGTGATTTTCTTTTTGAAAACAAGTGACACACTCTGTTTTCCTCCTGAGCTGCCCTCCCACAGTGTTACTGTGTGCTCTGTTTCAGGGTGCTGCTGTTATCAAGCGCTTTTCTAGCTTTGAAAACACCATCACTACATCTAGAAAAGATGAAGTGCCCAACTGCATCATCAGTGCTGCATCAAAGCAAGGATTTGCCATCTACATAGATGACTCAGAAGACAAAGAAAACTATAGTTGCCAAGTGTCTGAAGAGCTGGAATTAAGCCACTGTGAACTGGATACCAGTGCAATGACATCTAGCATTCACCGGCTGCTGGATCTGAGTTCAGGTAACTCCTGTTACTACTCAGATGGTGTCCATAGCACAACCACATGTAGGGCGGTTATGAGTTGTGAACTGTAAGCTAGTGAGTAGCTTATGTGACAATAAATAACACTTCAAGCTAACTTGGATTGTGTCTACATGAAGGGCAATACTTCTGAGCTAAAATTCGCAAGAGAAAGTCAAGAGATTAATTTTACAAATGTCTTGCTGCTTCCTATTACCTGTTAGGCTCTCCTATGGTAGTGGACACATCCTTCCAATCCCAGCCAGAGGATCACATGGAAGATGTTGTAACTCTGGCTGTGGGAGAGTATGCAGAAGACATTCATCAGTACCTCCGAGAGGCTGAAGTAAGTTGCTGTGAGAAGCTTATAGGTATCTGTGGTAGGATGCAATATTGCAAAGATCCAAGGCTGCCACTGAACTACAAAGAGAAAGTAAACAGTCAAAGTAATTTCTTAAGACAGCATATAATCAGTGATAAATTCTTCCAGGATTAATGCATCCCTGTTAATTGCTATGATGGGAGCATCTCTTGACTTGTTTGGTATGAAGAATTCTTGCAAATGGGAGCAGAATGCTGAAAAAATGCTAAAGCAGTTTGATGTGATCTCACTGATAGCTCTCTGGCTGTAGCAGTAGTTTCTTCTACCTTCTTGTGTCAGAGCAGTGAAGTGCAGTGTCCTGATGGGACAAAGGGAGAAAATCTGATTGGTTCATTTTCAGGTCCTTCTGAATGGCTCAATTGATGGCAAAGCCTGTCCATAGTCCAGAAAGTGTTTTACTATTCTCCCGCTAACACCGAAGCTTCAATCTGTCTCTTCAGTGTAGAAATACTACTTTCTAGAGATGTCACTAGCTGGGAATAATTACCACTAGCACAATAATTGTAGTTAGTACTTTTAGTTATTATTTCAGGACAACCCCTGCTCCTTTTAGTGTAAGTATAAAGCATATTCATCAGCTCAGCCATCCATGGTTCTTTTCAGAGTGATCATCCTGATTCTTCAACTCTTTCCAAACAGGTAAGATTTAGGCCCAAGCCATACTACATGAAGAAGCAGCCAGATATCACAACAGGAATGCGTGCTATCCTGGTAGACTGGCTGGTGGAAGTAGGGGAAGAATATAAACTTCGGACAGAGACTCTGTACTTGGCAGTGAACTTCCTGGACAGGTTTCTTTCCTGCATGTCTGTTCTCAGAGGGAAGTTACAGCTTGTAGGAACAGCGGCAATTCTTCTGGCTGCGTAAGTGTTTCATCTTCTGAAATCTTGGTGATTTGAAGCCTATTTTTGGGCTTAGTCTTGTAATGTAATTTGAAGGAAGGAAGGTTGCATTAGTAGGTAGCTTTTCATGATGTTTCAAGATTAGCAACGTGGGCTCCTTTGGTACTACTAAAATGAAACATTTAATGTTGAATGTGAAAAACTGTAGTGGGGAAAACTTGTAACCCTAAACACAGTAGCAGAAGCAATACAGTGTTAAACTGCTAGTCTGTAAGGCTGTAACTGGACTCAGTTGCAATCTACAGTTGGCCTTTAACTGTTCTAACTAAACAGAATAAGCACCATAGGTTAGGGGTGCATGGGTGTTTGCCTGGAGTGTGCTGTGTTACTGAGAGTTGCCCACCGAAAGCTTGCTGTTAAGAGCTAACAATGTGAGTGTATGTCTGTCTAGGCTGATGACTCAGAGTTCCTCTATATTTGCTCAAGTTTGAAACTAAATTGTTAGCTAGCCTGGAGGAACAAGTAAAATTAGAGCTTTCCACAAGTTTTAGTAATGTCATGTTCTCATCCTGATGTGGATATAGCATTAAGATTTATTTTATTATAACTTCAAAGCTGACAATGTGGCTTCAATATATCCCTTTTTTAGGAAGTACGAAGAGATCTACCCACCAGATGTGGATGAATTTGTCTATATAACAGATGATACCTACACAAAGAAGCAGCTGCTAAGAATGGAACACTTGCTTCTCAAAGTGCTGGGTTTTGACCTAACAACCCCAACCATCAACCAGTTCCTCCTTCAGTATATTCAGAGGCGTGGAATCTGTATGAGGACAGAGAACTTTGCAAGGGTATGGACTATCTGTCCTCTGGGACTGAGGGGGAAGAAGTGATCCTTAGAGGAGAACTACTTGCACTTCATGAAGCTGTCTCTGCAACAGGCCTAAAATTGCATGTTTCATAGTGGTGGCTTGTGTGCCGAGACTTCTGGGTAGATGCCTCATGGAAATCCTAGGTTTGGCCTGTCTTGTCTGATCAGGGATAATTCACTGACCAGGCAATTAGGTGGTAAAAATCTAGTGTTTTTTTTTAACAGTGCCTGTGTAGCAAGTGTGTCCTGGATTGGTGCTACTGCGTATTGCTCCACAATGACACAGAATATACCTGCATAGCTGCATAGGAGTTGCCTGGAGTAGGCAACCATGCTTAGAAACAACAACATTACAATAAAACATCTGACCACCTGCTTCTCTGCAAAGGGTGTAGGATTGTACAATGATTCTACTCCACCAGAGCCCATTCTGTGCTTCTTAGAGCTGTCCATTTATCCCTTATGTCCTGGTGGGATCTACCTATATAAACAAGAGCCTTAGCAGATGGGAAGAGTGTGTCTGTCAGTTTCATGCAACTTGACTTTTCTGAGTCTCTACCTCTAAAATCAAATCAGATCTGATGATGGAACCAGAACTTCAGATTAGAGTAGATGGGTTAAGCTTTAGCAAAATGAGGTCTTTCTGTCCCCCCCTGAAACATGATAAAGGACCTTCTGTAATAAAAACGGGACTGGAATGCTAATTCTTCTCACTAGATTTGTAGTTTATGCTTTTGTGCATCATACTGAGATCATTGCTGAACTTTAATACTTGCAGTATTGAACTGATTGTACCAACTAGGTTGATTCTTTTTTGAAAATTTTGGGTTTTCTTGTTCAGTATCTTGCAGAGCTGAGTCTCCTTCAGGTTGATCCTCTTCTGAAGTACCTTCCTTCACAAATTGCTGCAGCAGCTTACTGTTTAGCAAACTATACAGTGAACAGATCTTTCTGGGTAAGAACAACAACTGTGTTAATAAATAGCTCAAGCATTTTGTTATTGTTAGAACTGAGCTGAGAAGGAGGAGGAGTAGCTACAAAGTATATTGTTCAGAAGGCTGAAATCCTAGGATGAGTAGCTGTTCTTGAGTTAATGAGACTACCTGATAAATGACTGTTCAGTAAGCCTGAAATATTGTGCCTCTTCTCTGAAACGGAAGGGATTTTACTGTCTTGTTCACTTACGTCAAGGCTGTACCAAAGGCTTCAAAATGTCCAAAACTGCACCCCCAGATACAATTCAGGGTCCAATTCAGTTCTGGGAGAAAGGGGAGAACTGACTTTGTCTACTTGAGTGATTATACTACTGTGTAATTGTGGCTGCTTTACCACAAGCCTTGGTAGAACTTCCAGCTGTATGTTGGAGGAATAGCTTTAATGCAGAGTAAGATCCAGAAGAGATGTAATGGATGCACATGCTTAGAGCAGAAGGAGCTTGTCAGACTTCATGGCACCAAGGAAGACCTAGAGTGAAACTGATGGCACAATACAATTGAATCTTTTTCATGCTTAAAGAATCTAGACTGAGCTCTGATGTACTGGAAAGAGTTTCTGCTTCCGTGAGAAACCCATCTTCTAGATGACTGCTGGCTACAATAGAGTAACACTGTTTTTTCTCATCCGACCAGCCAGAAACACTTGCTGCATTTTCTGGATATTCCTTAAGTGAGATAGCGCCTTGCCTGACTGACCTGCACAAAGCATGCCTTGATGCATCCCATTGCCAGCTGCAAGCTATTAAGCAGAAGTATAAGCACCCAAAGTAAGTAACCAGTATGCCAGTGTCTTGGATAGCTGTAAGCACAGGATGACTCTGGTTTTCCAGCTTGGGCTGTGGCTGATGTAGCTCTCTCATAGTTGTCAGCTTGTAGTTCTGAAAGAGGAGCCTCCATCAGCCCCTTGAGGAGAAAACCTTACTGATCAGAAAAGTGATTAATCTATAAGTATGCAGATGCATTGGATAACAACTTTGTCTGCAGAGTTGCAGGATGATGCTTTTCTTATCCACTGCATTGCACAATCAGGTGATAGTTCATTTGACAAATCTGAAGGCCATGTCTGTAGTCACTTCATTTCTATTCCAGGTACCTGCAGGTGTCTCTTCTGGAGCTCCCAGCAGTTCTTCCTCTACACTAGACACTGTGGATCCTGGACTTGAAGATTACTGTATCCCAATCAACAAAGCTGGTCTAACATTTCATAGAGCACTGCGGGTCATGTGTCTGTAACCACAGTGATCAGAATGGTTTTTAAGCTAATATTTTTTAATGAGATGCCTTTTTAAAAATAGGTATTAGATTATAGCTGTTAACATAACTGAAAGCACTTTTAATAAATGTCTTATTACACTCTACTTGAATGAATCTTCTGACTTCTGTTAATACCTGCAGTAACAGTGAGTGGAATGAATTTTTGAATTTTTTTTTTGCTGTTTTGTTGGTTTTGTTTCTTTGTTTTTTTTTTTTTTTTTTTTTTTTGAGGGGGGGTGGGGTGGGTTTTGTTTTTACTAAATAGCTTTTTTTTTTTTTTTTTTTGGTTTTTTTTTTTTTTTTTTTTTTTTTTTTTTTTTTTTGAGGGGGGGTGGGGTGGGTTTTGTTTTTACTAAATAGCTGCAAGCATTTATAAGCTGGCTGGAGCGGATAAAGCAGAGCTTGAACCACCACAACCTGACATCCCTGTAGGCACAGTGATTTGCTGTAGTCCTGTTTGTTCTTTCTTCAATGAGATAAGATCCTTTGGGCATGAACAGAAGCTGTTTTCTGCGACTTGTTTACCGTATCAGACCAAGAACATCCACATGCAATTGTTCTTTGAACTCTGAACATGTTTGTAGAAGATCATCAATGTTGAGATAGAAGTCAAACTTCCCTTTATGGAAACAAAATAGGGGATTGCCCTGCAGGGAGTTGGGAGATTGTAGCTGGCAGAGCATTAGGAGCTTTTCATACACTGCTGAACAGACTGCTTTAGAGAGCAATGCTGAAAGCTATGAGGTACTGGAACAGCAGAGTTGACTGGATTGCTTCTGAGTCATTCTTGTAGCGTGGAGTGTTATAACAAACCTGTCTGAGATGACCTCTCATGTCAGCAGAGCACTGGTAATCTGTGTGAAGGGAGAGCAATGGGACAGAGCTATTAGCTATCTTAACCTGAGCTGCTACATGGTTTTGTGTCCCACTGTCAGTTATTTGTTAGGTATTGCTTTAAAAAAAAAAACCCAAACATCCAAACAGGACACCACTTTGTACTCTCAAACACAACCCCTGTCCAAAGTAGTTTAAAAATCAGTTGGTCATATTGGTCAACATGTAGAGAACTATAACCCACTCATATAAATGGTAAGGTAAATTTGAGGTGTGCTTGTACTGCAAGAGTTTAAAACTCCCAGGGCTTACTGCTTCCTAAGAGAGCAGTCTGTACAGTGTATTATGAGTTTCCAAGCAAGAACAGGTTTAACACTTGACACCAGTACACAATTCAGTAGACATATTAAGTAGCAGCTAACAAGCCTCTTATTTTAATTTTACAACCTGATTATGCCAATATGTGTGATGAGGCTTTTAGCTTTGGCATTCCCTCAATGTATGTAAGACTTCCTTTCCCTTAATTCCTCCCTGTGTGGCCTGATGGATCTTTCTAGTAATGCAAATTCTTGTATTTCTCTGAAGTGGAGGTAGTGGTCGTGACCGCTTCACTTGTCTCAAAGTAAACACCCTTTAAGGGAGAGTATTTAATTTCAGTCTAGCACAGTCTTGTGCTGTAGTTTCAGTCTAGTTCTTGGTCTCTTGCTTCAAGTACTTTCTGATCAGTAGAGTGAATTTGTCTTGATATGTTTATGATAATGGACAGTGAAGTGACCAGATATCCCATGCTCATGTCTGCAGCATTCATTTTGTGATGGGGCCTCAATCCATAGATTTTGTTCATGCACTGAATTTCATGGCTTGTGGATATATGTCCTAAAGGTGGGCTATGAACTTCACTCCTGCCTGCAGTCAGCTTCTTTAAAGAGTGTTTCTCAATGCAAAGCTGTGCCAGTGGCACCTACCTACAACAGGCAACTCTTGGTTGCTTGTTTCACAAGGAAGTGGTGAGTGCCCTGAGCAACTGTTGCTAAGTCTGCTCAGCTTTTGAGTACCAGCTTGTTTGGTGTTTCAGGCTGAACACAAGATATTCTGAAACCCCATGTTAATAAGATTCTACCTGTAAGTAACTGTGCTCACTGAACTGCAGCTAACTGTAGTGTTGCATATTTTCAAAGCAGAAATGAATGTCTCCAAGTGCAGGAATGTTTTCCTTGTGCTACAGGAGACTAAAGATTAGTGTGTCATGCTGCAGCAGTAATGGGGAAGAGATGAGTTTTTGTTTTTATAAACAGTCTATAACCACAGTCATGCCTCATGTTCCTGGGCCAATAGATTTGGTGCATCTAACAAAGTAAGAGTCTGAATTTACTAAGTGTTTTAACATCTGGAGTCTTTCTAGAAGCCACATTCTGTTCTGTTTTACTTTCTTAAATTTAACTTATAACTGCAAGGCTATTGCAGCAGTTTCACTTCACATTCTCAGAGCTTCATTTCTTTAGTATACAAATATACCTGGGGCTTTTTGGCTTTTTTTTTAAGCTATAATATGTGAAGACTGTACTTCATCTGCTTTCTTGTTTTGTAATTATTTTTCATCTCAGCTTTTGACTTAAATACTGTTTCAGTCCAAGGCTAAAAAGGGTAAAAAAAAAGTAGTTAAGGTGAAGAATCGCATAATGCTGCAGTCTGAATGCTAATAATGAGTTTGGGCAAGATGGATTAAATTTTAATTTGTAAGATACAAGAAACTCATCTTGAAGTGATCTCATCTGAGATCTGTAATAATGCAATTTTGAAAGTTCCTGCTCTAATCTCACTTCATTTTGTTGAATTTGTCTCATTCAGAGCAAGGAAAAAAGACTTACTGCTGTTGTAGGAGTGAGCCTTGACTCTTCCAAGGTGGAAATTGAGTGCTATCTCCTCTCTCCTTCAATGTGAATCATCACACTTTGGCTTACCCCTTGTGGGCTGTTCTCTGCAGATGATACCTAAGATCAAGGGATGAAAGATGCTGCAGTTGGGCATAAAGTGGTAATGAAGGTGAAATAATACTGTTTTAATAGATGAAGTACTTGAATACAGATGCAAAAACATGTAGGAGTACTAAAGGTTGTACTGAAAATCAAGTATATGGGAAGATGGATTTATAAAGAGGGAGATGAAAGCAACCCAAAACGAAGCTTTAAGTTTTTATTGATGTAGTGCCTATGCTAAGAGGTATAAAGCTCACAGCCTTGTGTGATCCTTGAAACAGAACCAGACCTTTTGAAGACACCATATCATGGAAAAGAAATAAAAGGCAATCAGCATTAAAGCTTAATCTTGACCACCATCCTTAGTGGCTTGTAGACCATGGCCACAAATGAAACCCTTTTTTTTGTTTGTTTGTTTGTTTTTTGGGTTTTTTTTTTGTTTGTTTTGTTTTTGTTTTTTGGGGTTTTTTTTTTTGTTTGTTTATTTGGGGTTATTTTTTGTGTCGGGATAGAATGTAAGAGAATAGAGTGCAAAAGACAATCTCACCCCTGAGGAGCTGCAGCTGTACTAATTACCAAAGATTAGGAACAGGCCTGCCCTTAATAGGCCACAGCTGTGTCCAAAAAAGATGACTGCTATAAAAGAGTGGGTTAGCGCGTCAAGAGGTGTGTTGGAGGTTGTTGGCTGTGCTGTGAGGAAGAAGGAGTCAGCACTGTGAGGAGCTGCCCATAAGAAATTACTGAGAAGGTATGGAACTTTTGAGATAAGATAATGACAATTTTTTTTGGGAAATATTTCAGCTGTGGTAGTTTTGGAAATGCCAAGGATGATCATGCTCAGTTATCTCTGCTGTGAAGGTTAGTCTGTTGAAGGTCAGCATGTGTATTTCAAAGGCTGAATACTGGCTTCTATGCAGGTCACAGTACCTTCTTTCAGTTAAAATTTCCAGGGACAAAACCCATTGGTGAAACAGCAGGCTGAGCACATCCAAGGAGCTTTGAGGGATCACTTAGTACTCCTAGTGGAGTAGATTGGAACTGAGAGTTGTTGAGGATTTTACCTTTGACCCATGATGTTCAGTTCAAGAGGTCTTTAACACTGGTATTAGAACAAATGCAAACATCCCTAATCTTATTCTAGCAATTTCCATGTTACTGTGCTGTGACTTTCAAGAGACTTGGCTGTATGATAGTGTTTTTCTGTGTTGTAGTTAACATTTTTAACCAATAATTTCTAACAATATTTTAGCCATCTTGGTGTCTTGAGAAAGCTGTCCTTATAACTGGAGATGTATTGTGGATCCACTGTTCCCTTTAGATTAAAAGGGATAAGTGTAACTTGATACTTTATGGGAAAGTAGTGGCTTAAAAGTTATGGTCTGCCTTTGTTTTCCTCTTCTCTGGGGTGAGTTAAGGATGTCTGAAAGGTAATTAGGTATTTAGAGAGAATGCTTTAATTGTGTTCAGAACAGTTAAGCTGCAGAAGGTTGTCTGCCTTGCTGGGAAATCTGGCTGTGTGATTAGTCTGTATGCATACCTGCTTGTCATCAATTCTACAAATGACTCAAATTGGCTCTGATCACTGAGGTGGGTGCAGCTAGTGGGGCTGCTCTTAGGCATGAGAAACAAGCCAGCAACATCAGTGATTTCTTCCTGGGTTTAAGCTTTTTATCTTGCAATTTTCCTCAGTGCCTGCTTTTCCAGAGCAAGATCATCTTCCTATACTAAAGAACTAAGCAGACTGTGCTAGACAGATGTGAACTGGAGGCAGTACAGACCCATCCCCTACTACTCAGATATTCTAGAGCTCTCAAGCTGACTCTTCTGAAGTTTCTTGGGTCCTATAGTGTTTATAGTAGATGTATGTGTTTTCCCATTGCATAAGACAAGAAATGCACTGAATACTTATTTTCAGTTCCATAGTTCTCTTGTATGGCAGGCTCTGACTTTCTCTTGGATGCTTGTTTATATTGCATCTACTTAAAATGCAAAAAATTTTTTTTTTTTTTTGCATGAAGTGTCCATAATGAACATCCCTGACAACAAGTTCATGGAGAATGTGCACTGCAGAGATGTAGAGAAGCAGTGGATAAGGCATAAAACTGT